GAGGAGGTGATCCTGAGAGCGGGATGTGGTCAAGAGGCTGTTCTTGAGATGCTGCCAAGCCCAAGAGGAAGTGGTGGGAGGGTGGACAAGAGCCAGGTTCTAGCTGGCATTACTGGGTACTGATCAGCGCAGATGCCCAGGTGCTCAGGGGCTCGACATCTGCCCATTGCTGTCCCCACACTCCCCAACCGTGCTGATTTCCTCCTGGGCCCGAGGGCATCCAGGGCACAGGATCAAGGCTCCTATGAACCTACAGAAGGCTCAGGGCACAACTAAGCACTTGCCCTGTGACTGAAGCAAAGGTTGGAGCACCGAACCTAAAATAAGCATTTTATTACATTAAAAACCACTGTGTCCCTGTATTTAAAACTATGTCCATAAGTTACAATCTAAAGTAAAAGCCTATTAATATAAATAAGGAGAGGGAGGTCATTTCTGAAGATTCCAACCCTGGAAAAGAAAAAAAGAAACAAATTTCAAACAAGTCTTATGTCTCCCCGAAGTAAACACATTGCCAGGCCTTCCCTCTGACATTCCAGGCTGATGCTTCTCAGTAGCCCCGCCACTCATGGGGTGAGGACCACCCCACAAATACCAAGGAGCCTGACCCCTGGCCAGGACCAGGCTATTATCTGCCTGAGAACCCCCAAAGGCCTTATAGACCCCCAGCACCTTCTTACTTGCAGACCCTACCCAGTGGTTCGTCCAGCCTCAGCCCCATGGTGACCATCCCCTTGCCTGGAGTGTCCCCCTGCCACCCCCAACACACTGCTCCTCACCTTTCCTGGCTGACACTACTTGCACCCTGTTTTGGTGGTAGGACACACAGCAACACTGGCATCATCACTGAGCAGACAGCAGGGGACAGGCTGCCTCAAATGCCAGCCTCACTGCCTGAGAGCCCCACTTGTCACCTTTGATTGGGTCATGAACTTACACCTCTGCCCCCATTTGAGGCTCAGCACTTGTCTAAGGGGTATCAACCCCATTTTGGATGAGGAAACAGGTAAGGTACCCAAAAGACTTCGTTAAAGACCTTAAGAGTCTGGCCCCACAACACAGAACCTGTATATATCAGCCCAACCTGATAGAGGGACTGTGGGGTCCCTCAGGCCCCCATGCCATTCTCAGCAGAGCCCGCTGGGCCCCAACAGGGGAAGGGCATCTGCTCTCAGTTTCCAGCTTACCATGGACAGGGGAACAGGAGGACCCTGGGCTGGCATGAGGGCACCCCCTATGTCAGAGCCTTAACAGGCCAGTCTGCCACAGCAGTAGTCCCAGCCCAGGCTCAAGGAAATAAGGGACTGGGAGTGGGCATCTACTGTGTGGGGGGCCCTGGGCTAAGAAGTGGTCACTAGACAAGGAGCAACCCCCCTGACCTGTTCAGCTGTGGTCTAGTTCCTGAGGAGCCCATCAGTTACAGCCACATGCTGGTGCAGGCCTGCATAGAGCCGACATTTTATAATTCTCAGCTGACTGGCTGGCTGACAACAGCTTTGCTTTCTCAAAAGTCAAACACACAAGAGCCTGAATAGAGGTCCTTGTGGGCTCCAGCCCAGGGCGTGAAGCCAGGCTGGAGGGGCAATGAGCCTCCAGGTAGCCCCTTAGGGGCGCCCTCATTCTCAATAGTGCCAAGCCTGTGTGTCCCTGGCTGTTGCCCAGCCCACAGTGTGGCTGGGAAGAAGAAAACTGCTGGCTGTTTCTACAAGGGGTCCCAGGAACTTAATGCAATTAGCTCCCCAAAATGCCCCATTGTGGGCACTGCCGCCAGCACAGAGACAGACATTCTGGGGGAAAATGTGTTGGCCCCAAATCTCCTCAGGAGCCCTGCTATGGTCTGAAACCCAAGTAGAGCCAAGCTTGAGGAGGAAAAGAGCAGGGAAATCACAGCAGGAATCAGGAGGGGCCCCTAGCAGCACTGGCTTTGCAGCAGCCCCCGCAAACTGCCCCCACACTCACCCTCAGGACAAGAGGGAAACAAGCGCGTCCAAAAACTTGCTTCGATCCTCTGCTTTCAGTTCAATTACTGCAGTAATGAAAGAAAAACATCTTATGAGAAGGGAGGAGTAGGGACGGGAGTGAGGGAGTGAGAATAACAAGTCAGAGCACATGAACTTCCTCTTCTCAACCATCCAGGGCTGGAACCCTCCAGCACATTCCAAAGTGGACTTGGCTCCTTGATGGCCTGGAATATTCTGGACTGAGATTATACTTCTCCGTCCCTCTGTATTTAATCCTCAGAAACTTCCAGCTGCCCTGTTGGTGAGGCTGGGGTTGTGGTCTGCAGGCCAGACAGCACCACCCTCTCCCACCTCTCGGACATGAAGCAGCACTAGGGGCTGCTGCTGGAGGTGAACTCACCCACCACAGACCCGCAGCCCGAGTGGGCCCAGCGTGAAGCTGGCTGTAGACACTGGGGCAACCAGATGAAGACGGTCTCTGACTGCGATTGTCATCATTAAGGAACCAGGTGGTGATGGAAGAAAATGCCTTTTCTGAGATGGGTGTTACAGGCTCAAGTATATTGTCCCAGAATTTGTATGTTGAAGACCTACCCCCCAGCACCCAAGAATGTGACTTATTTGGAGATGGGGCTTTTAAAAAGGTGATTAGGTTAAACAAGGCAGTTAGAGTGGGCCCTAATCCAACGTGACTGGTGTCCCTAAAGAGATTTAGACACAGACACAGAGGGACACCATGTGAGGACACAGGTAGATGAAAATCTGCAAGCCAAGGAGAGGCCTCAGAAGGAACTGAGCCAGTAGATGCCTTGATCTCAGACTTCTAGCCTCCAGAAAGGTGAGATATAAATTTGTTGTTTAACCCCCCCAGCCTGTGGCACTGTTATATCAGCCTGAGCAGACTAATACAAGGGTGAAGCGTCAACACATCTGTTTAAAAATCTGTCAGCAATAATAAAAAGCAAATATGGCCAAATATAAGTCATGCTCCATGCTGGTGTCTGGAGAAGTTACAGGCTAGTGCAGGGGCCACTGGCTGGCCTAACAGTGTGATTCCCCTGAAGCCACCACAGTGCTCTTCCATTCCCTGGGCTCATGCAACACATAGGGGGGGGCCAGTGCCTGAGTTACTACACAAACCACGTGGCAGGCTCAGGTGGGACCCCTCACACACAGACAAGTGCTGCTGGCCTGCACAATGGTGGAGGTGGTACCCTAGAGTCACCACAGGCCTGGCTGTTTCTTTTTCTTTTTTTAAAAAAATGTCTTTATTGATTTCAGAGATAGGAAGGGAGAAAGAGAGAGAGAAACATCAATGATGAGAGAGTCATTGATCGGCTGCCTCCTGCACGCCCCCCACTGGGGATCAAGCCTGCAACCTGGGCATGTGCCCTGACCAGGAATTGAACTGTGATCTCCTGGATCCTAGGTTAATGCTCAACGGATGAGCCACACCGGCCGGGCTGTTTCTTCTTCTTGACATACAATTTTAAATTAGTTTTAGGTGTACAATCCAGCAATTAGATATTTATATAACTTATGAAGTGACCCCCCAATAAACCCAGTACTCACCTGGCACCATACAGTTACTACATTATTGACTACATTCCCTATGCTACACTTTAAATCTCTGTGACTATGTTGTAACAACCAATTTGTGATTCTTAATCCCTTCACCTTTTTTACCCAGCCCACAAACCCCTCATCCCCTCTGGCAACCATTAAAATGTTCTCTGTATCTGTTTCTCTTGTTGATTGGTTTATTTTGTTCTTTAGATTTTGCATGTAAGCGAAATCATATGGAATTTGTCTTTGTCTTATTTCACTCAGCACAGTACCATCTGAGTCCACCCATGTTGTCACAAAAGGCGGGTTTTCTTTTTCATGGCTGTGTAATATTCCATCACATATATATATGCACCAAATCATCTTCATCCATTCATCTATTGATGGACTTGTAGGTTGCTTCTATGTTGGCTGTTACAAATATGCTGCAGTGGACATATGGATGTATACCTTTTCAAATTAGTGTTCTTTGTATAAATATCCAGAAGTGGAATAGCTGGGTCTTCTTTTGTCTCTTATTATAGCCTTTGTTTTAAAGTCTATTTTGTCTGATGTAAGTATTGCTACCCCAGCTTTTTTTTGTTTCCATTTTCATGAAATATTTTTTCTGTCCCTTTACTCTCTGTCTGGGTATGTCTTTCCACCTGAAATAAATCTCTTATAGTGTGTGTATATATATATACACACTATAAAACTATAAACACCTATTAAAAAAAAAACACAACAGAAAAAGAACACCTGGGGCTCCAGCAGCCCTCCTTAGTCAGCCACAATCTCTACTCATTTTCCCAGCCAGAAGCTATGGGGACTTTTCTTCCCAGCACTGGAACCCTGGGCTGGGAAGTCTGGTGTGGGGCTAGGCTTCCTCGCTCCTCAGGGGAACCCCAGCAGCTAAGATATTTCTGCTGAATTTTAACTGCCACAGGTGGGTGTGGGACCAGCCTGTTCTATGTCTCCACCCCTCCTACTGCCCTCTATGTGGCTTCTTCATATCCTTAGTTATAAGACTTCTGTTCAGCTAGACTTCAGGTAGTTCTCAATGATGGTTTTTCTGTAGTTTAGTTGTAGTTTTGATGTGGTCATAGGAGGATATGAGTACTGCATTTACCCACATCACCATCTTGATCAGAAACCCTGAGAGCTTAGGCCCTGCTGTTTCTACAACCCATAGAAGGGGTAGGTGACTCCGACGGGTTGAGGCTGGGCCCTGGAGGCTCTGGTGGCCAGTCTTCCAGGCTGGTTGTGAAATGTCTCAAGGGTCAGGCCTATGGCAACACCTATTTCGTCTCCTGGGAGCCTGTCAGGGTTCAGATAGGAATGCAGGGTGCAAGGCATGCCAGAGCTTCCTGAGCTACCTAGAGAAGCCAGGCTCAGGGCTGGTTCCAGCAGGACAAGAGGGCTGCTGGCAGGGTACCTTTGGTGATGCCTATTTCCCTGGTTACAAAGCCAAAAACTGACCTTGAAGGGGCTCCAATGCATTCGACTCTTACCTGAGAGGTCAAAATAGTTGTGCAGTGTCCGGGAGTTGGTGCCCTCCGCTGCCTTCTCAAATGCCCGCCCAAAAAAGCTGCAGGCACATAAGAGGCACATTGGGGGCCCAGCCACTGTGACGAACCCTTCCCATGCCCATGGGACACACTAGAGTCGGCCCAGACTCCTCCCCAGCTGCTACTTCCTCCCATCATCACTTATGCCCCTTCCTGGGCCACCGCCCTCTGAGGTCTCACCACCACTCACTGGACTGACACCACCTCTCACTGCTGCTCCCCACCTATACCCAACTGAGCCCTTCTCAGCCCTCGGGGAGTGAATGTCCATCTGTACCCCCCAGGGTTTCATGCCCAGGACTGACTGCAGCTTCCCTCATGCCTGGCACTGTGCTGGCAGCTGGGGCAGATGATAGGCAGAGGCTCGGTGGAAGCTGTGCTGGGATGGGGGTCTCAGATAAAACCAGGTCACACACAGAAGGGTAGGACTGGGAGGAGGCTGCTGGGCTGGGCTGTGGCATGTGGCTGGAACTTGGCCCAGAAAGGGCAGGAGGCAGGAGTGCCCTGAGCTGCTGAGAGCACAGGGCAGCAGGGAGACAGCCTATAGCACGGGCCCACCCCCTGGGAGCTCACAGCTATGGTAGTTAAAAGCTGGCAGCAGAGAGAGTGAGTTGTGGTGAAGGGGCTTTTGGGCATACCACAGAGTACAGGCAAAGGAGGGGCATGTACTTGAAGCTTCCACGGCAACTCTCACAAGGGACTGTGCACATCAGTCAGAGCTAACACTATGCATGTTTACATATACAACGTACAAGGACAAACTGACAACTAAAGGAAGAACACAGGTGTTTGTGATGACCCATGAGGGACGTGCTTACTGGCCACCTTGGGAACCCAGGCCAGGAGCCCTGGCCTGCTACAACCTGGGAGATCATAATTAGACACCCATGGAGAAGCTTTGGAGAGCAGCCTAGCTACACAGAGGCACTTGTTTTTAAAAAGCCCATTGTCTTTCCCAACTTGCTACTAAATGGTCTTTGCAGACACAGGTCAAAGCTCAGAACAGTATGGCTAGGATTAATGTGGATCTAAGACCAGTGCCCTCCAACAAAGACTAGCTGGGAAAAATGAGAGGCCCAAAACACTGGTCGGCTGTGGCCACTCAAGCTTCCCCGCCAGGAACCTAGGTGGCAGCTTTCTGCTACCCACTGTCACTTGGCATCCATCCAAGGTTGCCTATGGGATTTGCTGGGGAACACTTGACTCGGGGCACTGATTGCGCCTGGGAGGAAAAGATACCTAAGGACAGTGACAAGCAGCCTCTGGGATTAGTCACCAGGTTCTTCAGTTTACAGAGCATGGAAGGGCAGCAGGGAGAACCAGGGAGCCCTCAGCTCTGTCTGCTGGTCAACACCAGGTCTGGAAGAAGTAGGTAGGAGAAAACCCAAGCCTGATGCAAGAGGAGGCAATAATAGCGCTGAAAATTCAGGGAAGGGCCAGAAAGACATTGAGAAGATGTGAGAAAAGAAGCTGCGCAGAAGTGCAAGATGAGCCTGTGTGTTCTCAAACCCACTGGTATGTTATTAACAATAACGAAGAGTTGGAAACAGCATGAATGTCCAACAGGAAAGGGGGTAACCTGCTGCCCATGGATTGAAGCCCTCACAGCCCTGCCTTGTGGAAGAAAAGGGTCTCCTTGGTGTGGCCTTGAGGGCAAACCTCACCCAACTCCAAAGGGACCACGAGACAATGGCACCCCTGCGCCCCCTCTCCCCCACCAGCTCCCAGGACATGTGGAACAAGGCTCACTTCTTTCTGTCTGAGCTGTCGGTCTCTGGAGGGATGCCCACCACAGTCACTGTGCCTTGCTCGACATTCAGTGGGGCAGCCATCACCAGTGGCAGCAGCTTGCAGCGACGGTTCTTCGTCTGTGGAAGCAAAACAGAGTCATGACCTTGCAGGTTGAGTGTAGTACCTGGTGCCCAGGACCTGACAGAGCCAACTGCTCACTCCCCAAAAGCCTTCAGGGGCTCCATTTCACCAGAAAAGGTGCTGAAGCCCCCATCGGCTGTTCCAGCTTCCTTTTGCACTGCTGGTCAAGGACCCACTGCCCCTTAGCTGTTGCTTCCCTCACCTCCTTTAGATCCTGACGGTTATACCACCTCCTCCAGGAGGCCCTCCCCAACCAAGCCCTTCTCCCCCATCCTGCTTCATCTTCCCCACCATGTGTGCCACCACCTGACACTGCATGTACTCATTCCTCATCTATCCCTCTCACTAGCATGTGTGCTTCCTCAACATGGAGACTCCAGTGTTTCCTTCACTGCTATGCCCATGAGACCCACCCCCCACAACAAAGGTGACCAACTATCCTGGTCTATCCAGACCTGAAGGGCGTCCTGGGACAAGAACCAGTATGGTTGGTCACCCTAAAACATCAGAGCCCAACAGGTAGTGGATACTTAATAAACATCTGCTAAATGAATGGACCTCATCCATTCTACACAGGAAAACAGCTCAGAAAAAGAGAGGGGTTTGCCCAAGCCCTGCAGCTGGTTAACAGTCATGGGCACCCAAGGCCAGCTCCTAGTGCCCATCTGAGCAATGTTCTGAGTGTCTGCCTTCTGGCCCCCACCCACCCTGGTTCTCACCGAACACACAAAGGACTTGAGCAGGTGTCTGCTGAGCAGACTCAGGGATGCTGGCTTGGAGAACAGTGAGACATCTGGAGTGCCCTAAGGGGAGAAGACAGATGGTCAAAGGGGTCCACCAGCAGAACTGGTCCAGTGCCCACCCACAGTCCTTGGAAGCCTGACCTCCATGAGGGAGCAGTAGAGGAAAGGCCCCTGGGAGATAACAAGGTTGGTGCAGAGGCAGCTGGCAATGATCTGCTGCGTAGCTAGCAGCTGCTTCTTGGCAAGCTCCAGGCCGCGGTACAGCTTCTCCAGGTTACCCCTGTAACATGGCAGACACACAGATTCAGCACAGAGTCAAGTAGAATGCTTGCTTCCTGTGTCAGGAGGGGATGTGGGGAAGACAGCTGATTTCTCGCCCCCCTGAGTTCCCTTTCATGTTAAAGGAGGGAATATACACTGTATAAACCCATAGTGAGGGATAGGAGAAGTGGAAAGGGGTGCTAGCATCAGAAGGCAGGACACTAAAAGCCAACAGCAGGGAAAGACCCTGCCCAGCAAGACTTGAAAGGACATGGATTGAAAGGGTTCACATGAGAACCCAGTATAATACATGAAACAAGATCCACCCTAGACACATCACTAGGAAATTCTAGAACACTGAGAATAAAAGATCCTGCAAGCTTCTTCAGGTGGGGTGGGGACACATTTATAAAGAAACCAAACCAAAATGGCTTAGAATTCTCATTAGCACCACTGGCTGCTGTGGAAGACAGGGGAGCAATGGAATCTACATTCAACAAGAAATTACCTTCCACCTCGAATTCTATACAAGCTAAACCAGCAATGATATGAGAGTAGAACAGATATTGTCAGATGTGCAAGAACTCAGAAAGTTTATACCTCACATGCACTCTTTCTTTAAAAGTTACTTGATAATTTTGCTCTAGCAAAATGAGGGAGGGAAAAAAAAAAACAGACAAAAGACAAGGATGCCAAGAAATGCTGGCTCCAAATCAGGGGCACAGTCAAGGGCCATTAATGATGGCAGCAGGCAGCAGGCGTTGGGAGCTGCAGGCCCAGGCTGGAGTCAAAAGACAGCATACCAGGTTCTCACAGACAAAAGGGGGCTCAGGGAATACTTGCTGAAAAGGAGAGCTGAGAAAAAAACTGGATATGATAAAAGAGGCAAATAAGAGGTCCAGGAATAACAAAGAGCTATACCAAAAAGTAATGTAGTCACCGCTCATTATTGACTCTGAAATCATAGCACAGTGAAGTAACACTATTTATTGATTTTCATCTTTTAAAATCGACCTATAGCCAAAAATGAGATGACTCACATTCTATTCTCTAGCTCAAGATTAAGTGTTCTCAACCTTGGAAATGTAAAAGCATAGATTTCAGGAACTGGGAGGTATGGTGGAAGAGAAAAGTAGAAATGCTAATACCCTTTTCTTACAAAGAAGGGAGACAAGAGACACTGGTGATAGAACAAGACGTAAGTATGTTGAAGTTACAAGGGAGCTAAAAACAGTGGCAGACAGTAACAACAGGAGGGGAAGGAGCACAAAGGTGGAAAAAAATGATCTTATGTCATAGCAGGAAGTCAGCAGACAATGTCTAAAACTGACCCCTCAATCTTGGGATGAAGGCAGCATTTGATGGTATTAGTTTTTTAATTTCCCTACATTTCCAGGTAAAACTAGACAGAGCAATTTGATCAAAACCAAAACCCCAGGACCCACATTTATAACACAAGGGAATGAGGAAAGACCACAAACCCCATAATCTAAGCCAGGAGAAACAGACCACCAACTGGCCACAAGACTGGTATATTGTCCGTGTAACTATGGGAGAGAGCAGAGAAGCAACAAGACTTAAAAATGATGAAAACTAGCCCTGGCCGGTTTGGCTCAGTGGTTAGAGCATTAGCCCGCAGACTGAAGGGTTCCAGGTTGATTGTGGCCAAGGGCATGCACCTCAGTTGCAGGCTTGATCTCGGCCCTGGTCGGGACTTGTGTGTGAGGCAACCAATCAATATGTTTATCTCATATCGAAGTTTCTCTCTCTCTCCCCTTTTCCACTCTCTCTGAAAAGCAATGGAAAAAATATCCTCGGGTGAGGGCCAAAACTATAATACTCTTATAGAAATCAAAAACAAAAATGTAAATCTTCATGACCTTTAATTAGGCAATGTTTTCTTAGATATGACACCAAAAGCATAAGAAACAAAAGAAAAAAAAATAGATTAACTTAAACATCGAAATTAAAAACTTTTGTGCTTCAAAGAACACCAAGAAAATGAAAAGGCATCCCACAGGATGTGAAAAAAATTTGAAAATTATGTATCTGATAATGGATTTGTATTTAGAATATATAAGACAATCCTTACAACTCAATAACAAAGACAATCCAATTTAAAAATGGACAAAGGACTTGAGTAGACAATTCACCAAAGACATACAAATGGCCAGCAAGCACATCATTAGCCATTAAGAAAATGCAGATCAAAACCACAATGAGATACCACTTCACACCCACTAGGATGGTTGTAATCAAAGACAGACAAAAACAAATGTTCAACATCATTAGCCATTAAGAAAATGCAGATCAGAACCACAATGAGATACCACTTCACACCCACTAGGATGGTTGTAATCAAAGACAGACAAAAACAAATGTTGGCGAGATGTAGAGAAATTCAAACTTTCATAAACTGCTTATGGGAATATAAAATGGTGCAGCTGTTTTGGAAAACAGACTGGCAGTTAGTTCCTCAAAAGGTTAAATATAAAGTCAGCATATGACCCAGCAAGTTTATTTCTAGGCATATACCCAAGAGAAATGAGAACATATGTACATACAACTTATATGTGTATGGCAATATTATTCATAATAGTTTAAAGGTAGAAACTACCCCAATGTCCATCAACTGATGAATGGATTAATAAAAAGAGATAAATCCCTATAGTAGAAAATTATTTGCAATAGAAAGGAAATTCTGACCCATGCCACTAATTGGATGAACTTTGAAAATATTCTTCTCAGTGTTTTTTAACACCGCACAAAAGCAACAGAGCAGCTCTCTGAATTTAGAAAGGTCCCTGAATCATACCTCCTCCCAAAAAGCCAGGGTAACTAAATTCATAAAGAAAATAAGCAACAGATGAGTGTCGAGGCCAAATCCTCTCTATTAGAAAAAAGACTAAGGAGAAAGACTAGCATCCCTGTCAGCAATGAAAGTACATTAGAAAGACATGCCCTCAAATGATCAAAATTGTAATGTTACATCTTATTTCAAACCAAGCTAAAAGACATTAAAACTAACGTTAAGACATCTCAGGAAGTACAGTAAGAAAAACTAGAAATAGAAGGAAGATGAAGACTGAGAAATGAAGACTAAGCTAGAACATAAAAATGAATAAATACCACAAATAATGCCTTACGAGGTGAAAAAGAAGAGAATTTTGAAAATCAGAGGGGAAAAAGAAGCGATGAAAAGAATTCAAGAGAAAGTGACAGATGCTGCAGTTGAGCAGGAAATGTGTCATGTGTCATGTACACTGCCCCAACTGCCTGCCTCTGGTGCACTGATTCCAATTCGTATTCCAGCAGTTTCTGCAGGTCATAGTCACCCCCACACCCCAGGAGTCCCTGAGAGCTGTTTCCCTGGGCAGTGTGAGGCTGAAGACAGGAGGTGGCCTAAGGGGCTGGAGGCCATGGCAATGTCCACTACCTGGAGAGACTGTCCAGAGCCTGGATGAAGTTATCTGTCCCTGAGCTGTCCTTCTCCGGGCTCTCCATCAGTGACATGGTAGCAAAGACCACGTCACTAGCCAGGAACTTATGCTTGAAGCCAAAATGAATGCTGAAAGTCTGCACACGCATGTCCTTCATCCTGCAACAGGAGGAAGCAACATGGCTGTCACCCTACATGCACATGGCAGTGTCCTCAAGTTGTGGGTGAGCTCTTACTATTAGGCCAGGACAGCAGAATGTGCTGCTGCCCCGTGCCCTCCTTCACCCCCAATGGCAGTATGGCTATTTTGGTCAGAGAATGGGGGGGGTTAGAAGGCCTGATGCACAGCCCTGTAACCTGGGAACTGAGCGCCTTGTCCAAAGCTGCTCAGCTGGTTGGGGGCACAACAATATCTGTCTGGCTAGGTGGTGTGGTCCTCTCCCATGCCCCAGGATGCCAAGAGCAGCCAGGCATGGGTCCTCCAGCAGTGCTAGAGAACCTAGTTGGGCAGAGCTCATCTGAACCTGGCCCCAGTGGGCTCTTCCCAGGCCTGTTTCCTGTGTCCAGTGAGGGACAGGCTGGGTCGACCTCAAATGTCCACACCTCACCCCCAGGATTTAAGGATTCTAGACCTTTTGGGCACTTCAAGAAGCCCTATTTTTAACCCAGAGAACTCAAAACTTCAGGAAAGGCTTGGCAGGTCATGCTCATTTGTCCATTCCTGTTTTTTACATTATTTTAGGAATAAAGCTAAAACTGAAGCCTTAACAAAGCTTAATACAGAAAAACATGTGTTTACCCAAATTTATTCGCAGATTCTTCAATTAGCTCCCGCAAATTCTCCTTCAAAGAGATGTCCATAGACTGAAACTTCTGCTTCACCTGTTTCAGGGGGAGACTGGAAAGATGGCAAGCACTAGTCACAGGAGCAACTTGGCTTCAAGTAGAGAATGCTGAAACACTAAAGGGATGGGGCGGACCCCGCAAGGGTCCCAGTGTTTATAAACAAGGGACATCCCAGCATGGGCCTTCAGATGATATTCTGGGAACTCAGAGTGAAGAATTTATGGCAAAAACAGGCAGCAGCTAAATATCATGACTAAGTCAGTCACAACAAAGGGGAGGGGCTTCTCCCCTGGGGGCTGCAGGGTGGGGGGACTCCAGGTAAAGGCGGTCACTCACCCCATGTCTGCGAGGAACTCCTGGAGGCGCTTCTGCCCATGCACAGACCACAGTTTGAACCTGGCTGCAGTGTAGCACGTGTTGCACAGGCTGTCATGGAGGGACCAATGCTGATAGAGCACCAGGCGGAGGCTGGGCCCGAAGTCAAGGAGACTGCTCGGTGACCTGGGGCCCCACCCACCCTGTGACGGCTCATTTTTGATGCTCCAACAGATGGCCTGCTCCACTCACCAGGGCCCAACCAGTTATCACCTGGGTAAACTGGAGCTCTTTGACCTCTTAGCTTAAATTGACCCATACAGTTTGTGAGGTTGTGGATGCACAGCATCATCATCTCTATGTGACAGGCAGGAAAACTGAGGCGAAGGGGTTCTGAGAGCCTGTGCACTGTGGCCATAGAGCCTTGTGGCTCCCTGCACCCTCCACCTGACCCTGCTCTCTGTTCTACTCGCCCCCCTGCTGGGACCCCTCTGAAAAGCCCCCATGCTCACCCTTCTTCCTGAATACGCCCTTCACTGCTAATGGGGTCAAAAATGAGGCTGTGTGCCTCACATTCCCAACTCCCAAGACCTCTCCTCTCACTGGAGGTTCTCAGGCAGGATGCCAGGCTGGCTCTGCCTGTATCTGAGTGCCCCCACCCCCCGGGGCCAGCCTCTCAGCACATAACAGCCTCTCAGCACATAACAGATATGGGACGCTTCTTAAAACATGTGGTGTCTAGGAGCCAAAACCACACAGACAATGTGAGGCAGAGCCTGCGTCCCCAGTATTCAGGGACACATGAAGCCCCTCTTCTCAAAGCCTCTTATCTTGTCTGCTGCCCGTCCTGGGGATATGGCAGCCACAGCTGCACAACTTGCGGCTCTGTGGTCAGCAAGCATGCCACACATAGGGGACGTGGGCTGGGGTCTCCAGACACCTCTGGAGAGGTGACTGAGTTCAGTTCTTAGTCTCCTTCGAGGAAAGGAGACAGGATGGTGGCTTGGGTGAGACCACAGAAGCACATACCAAAGCAGAGTATGTGAGGGCAGGGGCGCTGCCTGCACCCCGAGGGCCTGAGCCCCAAGGATACTCGTACTCAAAGGAGATGCGCATGCAGTCCACGGAGAGAGCGTGCTCTTCGTCCTCATCACGGTGGTTGTGCCGGGACACGTGGCGCTGCAGGGTGCCGACGTCGGTCACATACTTCATCCTGGGAAGGAGGCACTGCTGGCCTGGTTGGGCTCCCTCTCCTCGCCTGCATTCTGCCGGGGCTTCCTCACCTCCCTCAGGGCCTCCCCTCACAGGCCCAGGGGCCAGCCCGCCACGCAGGCTGCGCCTTCCAGGACTAAGGGCACTTACCGCCTCTGCACAGAAAGCGAGCACAGCAAAGCGGGCAGCAGGCCTGGGTGGCCGGCAGGGCTCGCAGAGATGAGCTCTGGCCTCCCCTACCTCCCCTGCACGCTCCTCTGGGCGTCGGCCGCCCTGCTGTTACTTATTTGAGGCCTCCTGAGAGGCCTCCTTATTTGGCTCCACCTGCTGGGCTCCCTGAGGGTGGACGAAAGTCCACATAATGCCACATGCTATTCTGCCAGTTTCTAGTACTAAGCCCTTCCTTGGTGACAAGGATCCAGGCCCAATGCCAGCCTTCCTAAGTGGGGCTAGGCAGTAATGCTGCCACCCATCTGCAGAAGTCCACAGCCCTGCCCGCCAGCCACCATCAAGGGGAAAGACCCTGTGACAGTGATCCACAGCAGAGGGTGTAGACCAGGTACAGGAAGTGCTTCTGAGCACAGTAGGAAAGACCCGAGTCCAGGTCCACCTAAAGGTGGTTACTGAGCAGGATGGTAATAGTGTAGCCTCACCTGAGGGGAGGTCACAGGCCAAGGATGGTGCCTGGCACTATCCATACCCCATGCTACCCTTAACAGGAAATGGGGAATGAGGACCAGCAGGGTGGCAGGCTGAGCCAAGATGACAGATCCAGGAAGTGCCCAGGCCTGTGAAACTCAGGACCATTCTATACACTTAGAAAGGTGGGGGAGGCAGAAACTAGGGGGCACAGGAACCTTTGCAAACTATACAAGGAGACTGTGCCTGGGGCAGTGCCAGGTGACAGACTCAGATCCCCTAGGAAAGGGTTAACACCTTGGGGTCCCTTTGAGTTTCCACCTGAAGGCTACCAGAGGAGTAGAGATGAGAGGGCACCAGCACCTTGCCCCTCCCTGGCATTTGCCTCCCTGGGGTGGCCTTTTAGGTTATCTGTCTGATTCCAATGGCAGGCACCAAAGCATGGCCACTGAGGGGCAAAAAAGGATTTGTGCCATGCTACCCTGCAACCCTCACCCACCCTTCCTGGCAGGACTCCTGGGGCCCTCACTTCCTCCTCCCATCCGTGTCTACTGTGCACAGGTCACCCCTCTACGCTCGCCATGCCCACAACACAGGGCACAAACAGCATCCAGAGGAGAAAGACCGGGCCCCTCCTCTCACCTCTGGCTCCACCTGCTGGGCTCCCCGAGGGTGGACGAAAGTCCACATAATGCCACATGCTATTCCGCTAGTTTCCAGTACTAAGCCCTTCCTTGGTGACAAGGATCCAGGCCCAATGCCAGCCTTCCTAAGTGGGGCTCTGCAGTGATGCTGCCACCCATCTCCCTACTGCAGACTCAGAGCCTGCATTGGGCCCTGTACATTCTAGCAGCCCAGGCCGACCTTGAACAGCCCAAGGGAGTGCATCCTTACTGAGTGATCCTGTCTTGTACCCACTGGTCTGTTAGTCCAACGATGGCCCACCTGAAAGCAGAGGAGAGGGTGATGAAGCAGTGAACAGGGTGGGGCAGGCAGGAGCATCCTGCCATAGTGGCCAGCCCCACCCTCAGACAGGCACTCTCCTCTTCAGGGTGGAGAGGTGACAGGGCAAGACTCAGGGCTCCTGGTTCAGTATCACCCCTGCAGAAACTTTTGATACACAAGGAGGGAGATCAAGGACAAGAATGAAGGACACTGCTCTCTGTATGCTGGCTCACCCCACACTCCGCCCTCGTCCTGCCAGTACAGGAATGCAGCAGACACCCATGCTCAGGTGCTGGGGGCTCCTTGTGCCTCACTCTACCTCTCCAAGTCCTTCACATTACCCTTCTCTCTGCGATATGCCCACAGAAAAGCATACCCTTGTCATATCCACGGCTCCCTGTCCTTCTAGTATAAAATGATGGGACACAGAGTAACAACATTTAGGGCTCTTAATAATCTTCCAAGGTTCCTTCTCTAAGCTCATCTTTTATGAATGAGATAACAGAGATCTAGGTTCACTGACCTCCCTGGGGTCACAGCTGGCCCACAGCAGGAGTTGTGTGCCATCTGCTGGTCCCTGGTAGCATCCTCCAAGACGCCCCTCCAGGCCTACAGCTGAAAACAGCTGAGGGCACTGGGCACAAAGTGAGACAGGAGAGGCCATGGGAGTGAGAGACTGGTCACTGGAGCACACACCACATACCTCAGTGCAGCATTCTCCCTCCTCACAGAGACCTCTTCAGAAAATGCCACCCTGGGTGCCGTCCCTGGGACCAACCCCACCTCCTTCTGACTTTTCCACCCCAGTGTGCCAAGAGCTCCTGCTTCAAGTGAATTCAGAGGTGGCAGGATAATTTTTCCTGAATCAGATTTCACCATATGCCAGGGTTGCCTAGATGCCTAACAGAAGCTGCCTTGTTCAAATCTCGCTCCTTCTGTAACTTGAACTTCCTGGATAGCAAGGCTCAGCGGCGGGGTGGGAAGGGAGGAGCTGTACACAGGCCTGACCATCTGACCCTCTGCACTGGCCATGCTTCCTCCATGTCTAGGAGTTCGTGTGCTGCCCTGACAGCCTCACATTTAGGCACATTCCCAGAAAGGGGACTGCATTCAATGCTCCCAGTGGGGACAAGGAAGGTACACGTGGTGACATCTTCCTCCAGACCCTCCCCTCGCTGTGGGCAGTGAGGTGCTAGGGGAAGGAAGCCACGCATGGCAGTGGCCTTGTCTAGAGGCTACATACCACAGCATGTCGTTCATATCCTTGGACATCATCCATGCCAGGTCGAACATCACCATGGCCGACTGCAAGGGAAAGGGAAGCCTGAGTCCAGAGGCAGCCATGCTCATGGAAGGGAATATACCGGGGCCAGGCCAAACAGCTAGGCCAGACCTGAGCTGTCTAGGGTGCAACTGAACCCCTGCAGATTGAGGGTCTGCCAGACCAGGGTGTGTGGGTGGATTCTAGGCTAAACTGAGGAAGACAGAGTACCTAGAGTGACCTGAACTGTCTCCTCTGCTAATTAAAGTCATAACTATGCACACACTTTATCCAGCAAGGGAGGGCAGCCAGGTACAGCGCTGTGCTGAGGCCTCTACACATTTCACTGGGTCCCTTGGTGATACCCAAGGGAGGCGTGAATTCCAGAGGTCAGGTACCTTGACATAAAAGGGACATTAGAAATATGGTGCTCAGAGTTCAAGGCCCCAGGGCTAAATGCTAGATCAAATATGGCATGTCTTACTAAAAAAACTTATTTTCTAGCCCTCCTTAAGGCCCTGAGCTCTGCTTAACACTACTGCAGCCAACACAGTAGACACTCTATATGAAATTCTGTTCCATAACACACACTAAGGGGCTTTATGTCTCCAGTTTTATATTCTTGCACAGAGGCTAATACAGACTAGTTCTGTAGTTTTGATGATGAACAAAAATAATCACTGTGGTTCTTCGAGCACTGGGAGCAAGGAGTCATCCTAACAACTCCCTCTGAAATGAAGACTATTCTCTTCCTTTAACGGAGGAGAAGTTTAAGGCTCCGAGAGGATGTACCACCTCCCCAAGGTCACACAGCAGGAAATTTGAGGGCTCAGATTCAAACCAGACTTTTGTGGCTCTAAAACCTATGCTCATTCCTCCTCCTGTTTCAGGACACTGACCCCGAGTCAGAGCTTTGTGATGAATTCCACCTATCCGTACTCACCGATGTCCCATGATATTCATACTGCTCATAGTCAAAGAGGATGTCTCTTCTGTAACAAAATAAAGTGTGATATAAAATGGGAGGCTTCAACAGGAAGTAGTTCAGGGAGCCAAACATTTGGAAAAAATGTTAAAACTTGACAGCACTCAAAGTATTCAAAGTCACAGTGGTCTGTTTTCACTTCTTGACTCTTTCTCAGAGTGTACCAGCACAAGGCTGGGAAGGGAGTGACAGAAATACAAACTGCTTGTGACAGTGGAAGATGTACAATGGCACAGTCCCAAAACCCTGTCTCTGGGAAATTATCCCAAGATAACAACTCAAAGGAACAAGCAAAACCAAACCTGCTATGTGCATGAGACCGTGCACTGCAGCCTCGTCATGGCAAAATACTGGTTATGTACAGTTCAAAAAAAGGGGAATGGCCCAGTAAGTACTATGTAGTTATACAAGGCTGTTTGAATGATCTAATCAGGTGGGAAAATGCAAAATTAGGTGTGTATTATGATTATGTAAAATATGCATAAGAATGAATAAACCAGGACGTTCAATCTAAAGCCAGAATCTCTTCCCAGTAGTGAAAATAGATTATATTCACTTTTCTTTCCTTACATATCCCGAAACAGTTTTATATTGCCCTTCCACAAGGAAGAGCAGGGCACATCAGCCTGACCTTGAAGGACTGGACCCAGCAAGGAATTTCTCAGCTCAGGGGAACTGCTAAATGTCCACCTCAGCTAGAATAACTGTTCCTGTCTTCACTGCAAAGTGCTTCAACTTGTAAATTGCAATGTGAAGGGGAATTATGGGTAACTTAGTGTCCTTTTCATTTATTGCTATGAAAAGTTTCACACAATTGACATCCAACTCAATTATAAAAATTTGCTTGAAGTGCACACTCACCTCCGGGCTTCCCACTCTCTTCGCTCCCTCCTTTTCATGGTTTCTGCTACTATCTCCTGATACAGGGACAAAGAAAACAAAAGGTTAAGCAAATGAGCCAGGAATTTATCCCCACAACCTGAAAACATTCTCGATTTAACAGAAGCCACTAGACTCAGATCCAAAACAGGAGTCATGACTGTGCCCCGAGCACGGTCTGCTCCTGCAGAAGGAAGGAGATGAGGCAGAGGATGGCCAGGACTCCTCTGGCCCATCAGCACTGAACACACTACCACAAGGGTGGATACTTCCACAGTGCCTGCTCAGGCTATACTCTGCCTACCTCAGCTTTCCACCACCATCTCATCTGGGATAAGAGCACAGCTACCTCATACTGGCTTCCCCACCAGATTAACAAGAGCTAATGTTTCTTACATCCTACCATGTGTCAGCTACTATTCTAATTAATTTTTTTTTAAACCCACACCACAAGGTACTTTTTTTCATTGATTCTAGAGAGGAAAGGAGAGGGGAAGAGAGAAAGAAACATTGATGTGAGAGAGAAACATCAATCACTTGCCTCCTGTACGTGCCCTGACCGGGGATCAAACATGTAACCCAGCTATATGCCCTGACCATTAATCAAACCTGCAACCCTACAGTGCACGGGATGATGCTACAACCACTGAGCAACACTGGCAGGAGCTACTATTTTGATTTTACAAGCCCAATCTCATTTAGTTCTCACAACAAAGGCATGAAGTAGTGTGCCAGCTTTAAAAATCCATGGTCCCGAGACTTCTGCTTCTAGGAAGATGTGATAAACATGTTTTTTCCTCTAAGTCCACTAACTATACCTAAAAACTCTGACATTATATATAACACAAAATCAGACTCTGAAAGGTGGAGAGGAAGGCTCACCAGCTAGGGAACCCAGGACCTGAGGAATGACAGTGATCAATTTCCTGGGTTTTATTTTTGGCTCATATATCCCAAACTTGGAGCTGAAGAAGCTGGTAACCTGATTACACTGGGGGGGGGAAGGGGAGAATCCCCAACAAAAGCCAAAGACCAGTAACAGCCTTGAAAGACAAAAAACGTTTAGACAATAACTGCTGTACGCCAGCCAACACCACCAAAAACACTGTGGCCTCAACCCATTCACCCCAGCAAATGCCCAGTGGGAGCCTAGATACTCGCTCTTCGAATACTTCCCTTCCACCTGTAAAAACCTCCACTGTTCTACCTGTAACATTTCCCAACACCCCTTTCAACAGTAGTATACGTTTGAAAATTTTTCAAAATGAAGTCGGTGGGAAATTATACACAGTATATAAGGTATTATATGGAGCATTCACAAACCCAGATTCTAAGTAGGTGAATAAGCATATATAAATAAAAGCTCTAAAATGATCTCACATCTCGTCAAGATCACTTCCTCTTTGTTGCTAAGCCCTCCAGTCAGTTCTCACCTGCCCATTGCCCCCAGGCTGCCGGCCTCAACCGCTTGAAACCATCCTACCCCCTCAGAGCCCTTGTGTCTGTGTGTGCTCTGCTCTGAAAATGTCTCCTTGGTTCCTTCCCTCCACATTCAGATCTCTGGTCAAGGGTCCGTAGCCACCATCATAAACCAGCAAGCCATTCCCCATCTAGCCCTTACCTTGCTGTATTTTCCCTCATAATATCTCAACCTGAAACCACCCTCTAATTATGCTCATTACACGTTCCTCATCTGTGTCCCCAACTGGAAAGGAAGTTTGAAGATTGCAGAACTTTGTTTGCCCACCAGTATCCCAGAGCCAGAACAGTACAGGGCACACAGTAAGTGAAAAAATATTTGTTTAGTCAGAGTGGAGAATTCCAAGATTATCTGTAGAATATGAATGTTTCCAGGGAAAATCCAACCACATACGGATACTGGAGGCCCTATGAAAAGCAGCTTGCTAATAGTTAGAAGAATGCTATAAAAAAGAAGCACTCAGAAGGCAAGCGCTTACAGAAATCAAAGATTAGAAGATAAAGACCAACCCAAAACCTGTATAACTTTGTTAACCAGTGTCACCCCAATAAATTTAATAAAAAAGAAAGAAGATAAAGGCCAAAAGTCTGCCAGGAAGTAGAACAAACAGATAAAGAGCTAGGAAAGAAGAAAGAAAATCTCAGAGTGGATCTGAGAGGTCTACATCAGACCACCCAAAACTCTAGAGAAAGGAGTGGGCAAAGGGAAGGAAGGCAAGGAGAGACATTCCTAGCTTTGCGGGACACTTCCCCACCAGATAGACAGTGTCCCAAATATGGCTCAAAAGGGCTCTGCTAAAGCACAGCATTGGAAGATGTCAGGCAAAGGATGAAGGGAAAACCCCAAACAGTCCAGAGACAATTTCAGCTTGCACACCAAGAACCAGGAGCCAGAGATGAGAGTCTTCAACAGAGCACTAGAATAAAACACAGCCTTTGTGTTAGAGGAACAACTGCCTCCCACCTGGAATTCTACATCTCGCAGAAGCCACAAGCACTGGTCAGGCCCCAGATCTGGTAAGCAGCTCAGACCCAAGGCTCGTGAGACACAAACCACTCATGTCTTTGCACACAGATGCTTCTCCTGGAGTGACCACCTGGGACCAAGCCTGGTCAAGGGCCAGAGACCCATGCTGCTCCTCCATGGTGATTACACAGAAAGCAATTCTGGAGGGGATTGGGGAAGGGAGGTGATGCTTATGCAATTTATTGTTTCTCCATATAGCTTCTTATTTTTGCTGTCTAGGCGTAGAGTTGAACTGTCCTAAGTTTGATTTCATCTCATGGGATTCTATATGTGGCTCAGAGAAATCCAGTAATCTACCAAAGGCCACACAGCCAGAAGATAGTACCCCCACCTGCTACCTCCCAGCTAGACCTGGGCCCAGCAGGCTCCAAACTGATCTCTGACCTCTGGGACTAACAAGTTCCTTAAGACCGGTGAGAGGCCCAAACCCACCTCTTCTAACCGTGTGCGCTTCTCAGAAGGCTCTGAGCCATCACCCTTTTCTTCCAAATGTTCTTCCTCCTCTTCTTCATCCCTAAAGATGTCATCATAGGCGGGAACTTCAAGGTCATCATCTTGCTTAATGAGCAGTTTGATCTAAGATTAAAACAAAGAACAATCAAGTCTCTTCTCTCTGGACAGAAAATTATTCATCATGTTTTTCTTTTGAAGAATCTTATTTCCTAGTTGGCTGACTCATAACTTTTCTGTACATACAAATAGCCACATGACTGAGAATTTCAAACTTCTCAGTCATTTAAGAATTTTCATTTTCATTAAGTGAGATGCTAGGGTTACACCACACTGTATGCAGAAGTTACAAAAACTTGACAACTACCTCCAGTCACTACGTCTGGGAAAAGCTCCCTCTTGTGCCACACACCAAGGCAATAAAACGACCATCCCACAACTTGACCTCTGACAGAGGACATGGAGATGTGCAACTCCAAAGTAAATAAAACTCCTGTCTCTAAAAACAGTTCCAGGGAGGCTGATTTCTCGCGGAGAAGCCATTCACGTGAGAATTCCAGGGCCAACACTTTGTTAACGTGGGTGGGAGAAGATTGCCTCAGAGGAAGGTTAGGTGGCTGCTCTGCACCAGGCTCCCTGCTTGCTGCTCAGGGATTGAGAATAAGTGCAGCAGAGCTATTTTAAGCTACCGATGGTCTTTTACACCACTGTCTTGCTGGTACTCACACCACCCCTTGGATGGGCAGGGCAGATGCCTCTGAGGTACCCTGATATTTAATAAGGCTAGGCTGGGCCTGAGCTCTCAGTGCAGTGTTCTGGTCCCTACACCTTTCAGGTCAAGCAAATTCCACAAATGCATTCTGAGCAACTCCAAGGGTTAGGTGTCACGTTTCTCATCAAAGATGGACAAAACCGGGTTCTTGTCTTGCTAAGGACACCAGTGCAATGCTGTCCCTGGCATAAAAAGGAACAGACAGATAGATGGGAGAATGCAGGAAAGGCATGGGCCCAAAGGCCTAGTTACCTGGGTATCATTGTACACATTCACAACATTTACTGGCCTATGGGAGTCACACACGAAAAATATGGCATCATCATCAGGCTGAAGGATATCCAATAGGTCTATGTTAGCCCCACAGTTTATGAGGATAAAATAACGGAACTGAAAAAAGAAGAAAGATATTGTGAATTCTTCGAGAGGGTCCCTTTACCTTTAGCACACTAGGCCTCTGAGGCCTTCTACTGAGATACATTAAATCCCTAACACTGATGGCAAGGGGTTCCCAATCTGGCCATAGCTGGCCTGTGCTAAGTTCTTTAACATAGTCCATATATACTACCTGATTTCCATGTCCCCGTTTCACCGTGGAGCATGCAGAGGCTCAGCATGCCCGAGTCTCACACAGGGAGTCAAGAAGTTGATGAGAAGCAGACCAAGACTTCAAAGGCGTCGTAACTGGGCCTCTCCAGATCCCAATCACTCCACTGTGATGAATTGCCTCTCCATGCTAATAGCATTCTACAGGTTTAAAATTTTAGCAAACCTTGGGTAGCCCATACTTATGGACACCTAAATATTAAGGTTTTATTGCATCTCATCGCTACAGAAAATCCTTTTCTTATAAATACAGAACTGGTAGAGGTCCCTCCCATTATGACAAGAGCTCCAGGTGAGGATTTACCTCTGTCAGACAGTTCTAGATATGGTCAGAGACTCCCAGGACCCTTTTCCATACTCCAGCCCCTCCCAGTGGGGTCTCAGATGTCCCAGTTCTCATTATAGCCACATGCAGAGGTGGGAAGAATCCTGGCCTCTACTGTTTAAATTATGTTCCTGGATTCCAAATTGGAAACTGGGACACATTTTCTTGGAGAGATAATGTAAATGGTAGTCTAATTAAAATAACTTTAACTAGGCCATATCTAAACAAACTGCTAAATTCCAAGCACCTTACAGTGAAATGTCTGCAACACAAGTTCAAAGTTAGAAGCTGTCCATGTTCGCTATATATTTTTTGTTGTCAACTTGAGCGTAAGTCACCCAGACATAATGCTTGCTTTTCTTTCCCATGTCGCATAATATATTTGATACTTAAATAAAAACTTACAATTGAGTAAAAAACAAAACTAAAAAACCCCTAATTATTCCAAAATACATCTTGCATACCTGCTCTTTATGTTCAAGAAATGCAGTTTCAAGTTCTTGCCACCCAGAAACGGGAACCAACGTATATTGCACGTGGTCACACTGGAACAGGGCCTGGAGTAAGATTATTTTCAAAGCCTATCATATTTGGAATGTCTTTAATTTACCAAGAAATGCACTTAAAAAAATAAGATAGGTTGAGAGACAAATGACATGTGATAAAGGTCAGTAAAGCAGTAATGGGAAAAACTAGGGGATGGGGATGTGAGTGCTCACTATATTATTCTGCAAATTTTACTGAACTTTTGGAAATTACCAAAGGAAAACATTGGGAGAAAAGCCGATCTTATTTCTAGGTCTTCTAAGAAATAGGTCCTGAACCAAGGGCCTGACCAAAGCTCACGTAAACATCCACTGCACGGTATTCAAAATCGAACCAATGATCTTCCATAATAAACTAAGGAATCCTGTATTTCCAATATTGTTTATGGCACCACTATGTCCTCAGTTGTCACAGATTCCTGGGTCTCAAACCCCAGGTTTGAGAAGCTGCTACAGGTCTACAGGTCTCTCTCATGCAGCCATTTTTTGGCTAGGTTATTAGAAAAATACTAAGTAGTTTCTCTGACTTTTGACTAATGTTCTCTAATCCACCCAGTACTGTCCTACCAGGAAGGCGACCTCTCAAGAGTCCCGGTCCCCATCTTTCAGTTGTTGCTCCTGCCCCCTCCCCAACCTGAGCTCTCATCTGGGAAGGGGTTCCTTACCTTGCTCCTCACCGCCGGCCCTGCTCCCTGCCCCACCATGTTCCCTCTGGACTCACCTCCCGCCCGGGCCAACCTGCACCCTGCACCCTCACCAGTCGTCCGGCCCCACCTCCCAGAGTCCACAGTGCTCACCTGAAGGATCTTGCAAGCGCACAGAGCGTCCACGTCCGAAGCCACGAAGAGAAGGACCCTCTGTTGGGAGAAGCGAGGGAGAGCTGAGCGCAGCGCCCCTAACCCGGGCCCCTCCCGTCCTCCCGGGGCCGCTCCCCTTCATCCCTTCCCCGTGAAAAGGCCTCGGGGTCAAGAAAGGGGGTCACCTGGTTCTGGACCACCTCGTAGAACTCTTTGCGGAAATCGGACACGAACATGACCACGGCAGCCAGACACCCGGAGCTCGCGCTGAGACACTAAGAGCTCCGACAGTGGTCGAGAAATCCCGCCAAATCAGGGCTCTTCCAATTGGCCCACCGGCCAACCAATAGTTACTTAGCCCCTAGCCCTTCTTCCTTTATGATTGGCTCACAGTGCGGCAGCTATAGCGCTCCGCCGCCATTCGCTGCTGGAAAACCCTGCCCCCCCCTACAGCGCGTCAACAAGTAGGCCGCAAACGCGTTTGCCCAGAAACCCCACCTTCAGTGGACATATTTACTTTGGGCAAAGAAGCCTATTGCTCCCCCACTGGAACTCCAGGAGAAAGAAACCACCTCACCTTAAATTAAATATATTTATACATCGAACGAAGGCGTCAGTTTATGATTTCAATAGGCTTTTGGTCTAGTTCGAAGGCTGATGAGTCGCTTACTTCCGCCCGAATCCTCAAGGGCTGCGCCAAAGGCCAGAAGGTCTACGTGCATTCTGGGTAGTGTAGTCCTTAAGGAAAACGGGCCCTAGTAAATTTGTCGGGGCGGGGGGGTACCATCAAAATGTAATTTTAAATACTTTTTAAAAATTCTCTAGAGTGGACATAAGTTCGAAAATGTACTTTAGTGTTTGTTCCGAAGAAACTTTAGACCCTGGAGCCTTTGCCTGGCTTTTTCTCTTTTGCAGCCCAACCCAACTCTATCCTCCGCACCTCCCCCCCACCCCGGCTATGGTCCGGCACTTCCGGTGAGCCTCCCATGACGTCAGAGCCGAGGCGGCTGCTGCGAGGGCTGTGAGCTGAACAAGCTGGTGGGCTCGGCTCGTAACGTTCCCAGGACCTAGCAGCATCTGCGTGGCAGAGGTGCCATCATGGTGAGTGCCGTGGGGCAGGGCCCGGAAGCTGGGGCCGAGTCATGGGGAGGGGGTTAGGGCCCGGCGGGGCAGACCTGAGGGCTGCGGAGATGCCGAGTCACCAGGGCCGCAGTCAGGCCCGTCTGTCCGTTTGGGGAGCTTCAGGAGACAGTCGTACCCTTGCCTACGGGTCATCCCCTCTAGTTCAGGAGACGGTTCGCATTTCTTCTCAGTTGAACTTGAACTCCTCCCATGTTTGTGTCCGCCCACGGTTTTCGCAAGTGGTAGACACCTAACAGATTTCCATAAACACCAAATTAATGGAAAGGTGGTTGGGGTAAGGAGCAGAATCAGGGGCTTCCCTGAAAGAATGCATTGGGGCATCCCCGTGAGCGGAAACACTCCGCTCTTGCCCCAGTTCCTTGAGCCCAGTACCTCCTGGGTCTTGCCTGGGTGGTAATCATGCCTCCGGCTGTTTAAGCGACTCGGTAAAGATGACAGTAGCAGCTAATATTTGCTGGCGCTTTTCCCGATACACAGCTTTTGTGCGCACCTACAACCCCTCATTACAGCCCTACAGTGCCCTTGGAGACAAGGGTGATTATTATCGTTTTAACCATGAGAAAACTGAGGTTTAAAGAGGTAAATAGTGTAGGTCACAAAAGTGGGGAGTGAAAATTTGAAACGTAGTCTGTCTGGCTGCAAAGCTCAGTCTAATTACTACTGTACAGCATTTCTCAGTGTCACCTGTTCACTTTTGTAAAAACGAGGAATGATTATCAGACTGTACCCTGAGTGTGTTGGTGTTGAATCACACTTCTATTCTCAAGTTTATCCACTCAATAGACATTGAATACCTCCTATGTGGGAGGCAATGTGCCAGGCAGTGGGGTTATAAAGGAAAGTAGTGGATTTGGGGTCTGAGCAGTGGGGAAGTGCAGAAAGTCAGGTTCCTGGGTGGATTGAAGGTAGGTATATGGATGTTAAACACTTTGCACATTTTCCTCTTTCATACGCAAAGAGAAGAAATGGTTTTGGTGGGGTGGTGCAGTGAGCGGCACTCAGGGAGGCCCCCACACTTCTTCCTTCTTTCATCTGGAAACGGTTTTCATTTGTGAGGCTTCTGGCCGAGAGTCTGTTGAACACAGAGTCCTGTTGATTAAAAGAAGGGAGTCAAAGGTCTGAAAGCTGTGCTAGAACACAGGGAATGAAGAACCATTTGAGATTTTAAACAGGAACATGCTATATTTACATCTTAGGAAGATTTCCCCACTTCCCCCAGACCCTGGAAACCAACATTCTGCTTTTTGTCTCTATGAATTTGGCTACTTGAGGGACCTCATAGAAGGGGAATCATACTATTTTTGTCATTTGTGTTCAGTTTACTTCACTTAGCATAATGTTCTCAAGGTGTATTTGTGTAGCATATGTCAGAATTGCCTTCCTTTTAAGGACTGAACAATGTTGTATTGTATGTATACACTAAATTTCCTTTATTCACCCATTAATGGACATTTCCCTTGTTTCCACCTCTTGGCTATTGTGAATAGTGCTGCTATGAACATGGGTATACAGATACTTTTTCAAGACCTGCTTTCAATTCTTTTGGATATATACCCTGTTGTGCTATTATATTCTTTTTTGCTTTTTTTCTTTTTTTGAAACGTCATAGTAATTGCAGTACTTTGAGAAGACACCAGCTTGCTGTGTAACATGTTTGTAAGCCTCATCGTAATCCACAGCTTTAAGAGCTGGAATCTTACCTTCTCGATGGCACCATGTCTTGGCTTTACTTATTAACAGGAAGGATGGAGTACCACATACCACAACATGAAGGCACATTGGAGGGGCACTGGCCCTGACCCTGGACAGAGCAGGGAAGTCTCCTGGGAATAGGAAAGGATGGTCATGGAAGCAAGGGGAAGGAGTATAAACATGGTACCTGCTCTCCCCCTGCCTGAAATGCTCTTCCCTGTTTTTCCTTTTGGCTCCCTCTCTGGGAATGCCCAACTCTGCAGGGTCCCTTCCTGACCACCCACTTAAAATAGCATTCCCAGGAGCTCTCTGTCCTTTAACCTCTTTTGTCCTCAGAACATTTATCACCTCCTGACACAGGCATTTTCTATTGCTTGTTTCCTTTGTCTTGAATGTCACCTCTTCCAGGGCAGAGGTTTTACCTGTTTTGTTAGTGAACAAACCTCACTGGAGTGATGCTCCCCTAGTGCTCAGATCAGAGCCTGACAGATAGTGGGCACTTAATAAATAGATGTTTTTTAATGAGGAGAAAAGTGTACCAGGCAGAGGAACCAGCCCAGGGTTGGGATATGGGGAGACGGCAGGTATGGGAGATTTGGGGGCCTTCAGTAACCAGTCCCTTAGGTTTGCGGAGCTTCTACCTGGGTCCCAGGGTGTGTGTGGAGGCAGGGGCGGGGGAGGGCTAAAAGAGATGAAGGACAGGCTTAATGTGCCCAGTTCTTTTAGTAAGATCCTACTATCTAAAAATGGTGGAAAGGAGATGGGAGGAACAGACTGGGCATGGCAAAAAGGGTGGAGATGGACTGTGCTGCCAAGAAGTGTTTCAGGCAGACCTCTCTGGTCCATCAGGAATTTGGTGCATCTTGTTCTTTGAGAACATTGAGCGGCATTAACTACCGGATCTGTTTTGGCTTTTGATGAGAAGAAATGTACTTTCGTTCTGTTCTAACTTCGGCATCTCTTTCCTCCTCCTAGTTCTCTTTCAACATGTTTGACCACCCGATTCCCCGAGTCTTCCAGAACCGCTTCTCCACGCAGTACCGCTGCTTCTCCGTGTCCATGCTTGCAGGGCCTAATGACAGGTCAGATGTGGAGAAAGGCGGGAAGAGTATGTGCTTGTTTTTATTTTGAATAGTAACTTTCCCTGCCCTCAGTCTTCAACAGCCCTTATTTTGCATGTGTAACAGTAGCTACTTACAGTGAAAATATTGCTTATCCCAGATTTGCTGGGGCGGGGTGGGGTCCAAGTTATGATTAGATTTATGGCTAGTAGCCATTCGGTTCCCCAAAATAAGTTACAGCAGGCAAAATTCTTTATGACATATTATTACTAAATTCTGGCTACCATATAAGTATTTAATATTTTTTAAGGATACAACAGAAACTGCATTTTGGCTTTTGTTCCTTCCTTTTTCTTTTCTAATATTTTTTAAATGTTCTTTCCACAGTAATTATGCCACCCTCAGCCCTCGATCAACTCAGTAAGTATTTTCTACGTCACTTGAGAACTGAGGTAATATAAAGATGGATGCCATATCTGGCCAGGAATTGGCCCTGGAATATGCATGCTGGGCTGGTAGAGCTGGGGCCACAGATGCCCCAGTGAGGTAGCCTTGAGGGCCAGTGAGTATTCAGCTCCAGGTCCCTCCTCTGTGAAGGGGATGGCCCCTGACCCCACCCTGATCTCTGATCCCATCAGGACTAAAGGAAGGTTGGCGCACCCAGGCTTATCACACTGCCTGGGCAGCTGATGCTGTTGACTGGGTTTACTAGGTTTTCTGCTAGAGGACTGTGGTCAGCTCCCAAGAGGATGCTGTGCGGCAGGGCTCTCATCTCCAACTCAAGCATCTCTCCTCAGCTCCAGGCCCTCATTTCCACCCCCTCTGCCCTGCTACATCTGAAGCATGTCAAAAATGGAGTCTTCTGCCCCAGAAGCTGTTCCTCTCACTGGCTCCTGCCTCTTTCCCTGACCCCCTCATCCCATGAGAGCAATTTGGAGACTTCATACCCTGGCCTCACTCCACCTAGACACACAAAATCCTGACCACAGGCACAGTCATTGCCTTTTGAGATTCAATGATATTTCTGTTGTGAATTCCTCCCATCAGAAGCAGGAGACATGGAGGCCACCAGCAGGAGGGTCCATAGTTGGTGTTCTGTACACTTAGAAAAAGGGTGCCAGCTCTGGTGTCGTTCTGGCTTGGACTTTGCACCTTGCCCAGCCTGGCTCTAGACTAGTGTCTTGGCCTCTCTGAAATACAGTGGACTCCTCTTTAAACAGGAACACATAGTGCCTGTCCATCAGAGCTGCTGAGTGGCAGGAGTACCTCCTGCCCTGTGGTGCCCTATGGTGTGTTTGTAAACATCCTAAACCCTTGTAATGTCAGTCAGAAGGCATCAGGTGGTAGCCTTTAGCTCCAGGGCTTCACCGATGTCAACAGCATAGTGGCTATCCCCAGTGGAGGCCTTTAATCCTGGCCTCAGCTCAGCCATTGGGTGGATAGAGCTGAGAGGTTCACATTCCTCAGACAGGTCCTAGTAATAAGAGAGGAGAGGTCAAGGCCCCTAAAGAGCCTGCCTTTCCATTTGAGCTGACGTAGGAACTGAGCACCAGTGTGACCCTTGGCACACGTGTCTGAGAAGAAACTCAGATTGGGACAGTGGGATTTAGATCAGTGTTGTTCAAACCTTTTAATTGTGGGAGAAACTGTCCAAATGAACTCTTACTGGGAGTCCTAATTTGTAAAAAGGGTCGCTGCTCAGGCTGGAGGAAGTGACTGGGTATAGATGGCTTGGGAGCCCCAAGGCATTTTTCTAAATCACAAAATGCAGTTTGAAAACCAACAGATTGAGGAACACAGGGGTTTCTTCCAACCACGAGAATCTTGGACCCTTGGCTGGAGCCTTGACTGACTTCCTTTCCTTTTCACGGCTTTATATCTGGGAGGTGCCCTGGGGCCAGAGGCCTGGCTTTTGGGCCCTTGGCCACATACTGTCAGCATTCAAGTTACACTTTGCCCATGCGGACCATTGCCTCTACAGTGAGGAGCCACTTCTGGAGGGCTCTCCTCCCCTATCTTTGGTGTCATGCCTAAGCTCATTACTTGGTCTGCTTTACTAGAATTTTCAGGGAGATCCCAAATGGAGGCTGCCATACCTCCCAACTGCTGAATGAAACTTCTGTTGCCATGTTTGCCTAAATTGACAGGTTAAAGCGGGCCTCAATGGTTAAGCCTCCAACCTGGGCCAGTAGCCTGCATTGAATCCCAGTGTCACTATTTGTGGGCCACGGATCCTGGGCATGTTGCTGAACCTGTGTGCTTTAGTTCCCTGTAGATAAAAGGGATAATGAGAGTACCTACCTCACTGTTCTGAGAAGACTGAGTGAGGCATGTGGCAAACACCACCGCTATGTCAGTCTGTCCCAATCCCTGACTATTCTGGATTCTGCTTCCCATTGACAGCTCCTCCTTTCTGTGGCCCCTGCATTCCTGGATCAGCATGCCAGCAGTCCTGTTTGCCGGCCTATGGCCCTGTATGTGGCTTCACCCTCAGAGGGGATGTACTGTGTTGTGACCCTGCTGAGAGCCCACACTGCTGATGTGCCAGTCACCCTGCATGGTGTCCCACCCAGCCTCCTCTCCTGTCCCCGTGGCCCAGTCTCACCTAATTGTCAGCCATTCCTGAACTGGCTGGGCTCCCCTTCCCTCCACTCCTTTGCTCAGGCTGCTTCCTCTGCCTGACATTCCCTTCCTGGCCATCCCACCTTGACTCACCTGGAGGACATCCTCCAGGAGCCCTGCTTCCTCCCATCCCACACCTCCCACAGCACACTGCATTGGGGTGCACTTGTTTTCTTTCTCCGTTTGCTCACTAGAAACCTTTGAAGGTGGCAATTTTGTCCAGCACATGGATGGCACTTAAGTTATTTGCAAATGAGTGAGCATCCCACTTTTTAAAATCAGAATTTCAGAAAACCACAAGTGTGAGCTGCTGCTAAGAACCTGAGTCACTGAACACTTCCTAATTCTGGGCCAAGTTTTGTGATCTCGCAGGGAATGTGGGGTCTTGTGGGTGAGCAGACACTGAAGGGCTAGGCACCACCTGGGTACGAGTGTCTACTCTGTGTAGAGCGGTGGTGGGTGCCCCGGAGGCTGCTTTCTAGGGGAACATGTTTGGGGAACAGGGTTTCTCACCCTTGTAGAACTCTTGTCCAATAGCCTCTCTTGTTTCTAGGCCGACTCAACATTACTTATCCCATGCTGTTCAAACTGACCAACAAGAACTCGGACCGCATGACACACTGCGGTGTGCTGGAATTTGTGGCTGATGAGGGTATCTGCTACCTACCACACTGGGTGAGTGGGGCAGTCCGGGTCTCTGGAGAGTCTGTGAGCCTGTCTCAGGTGGGAACTGAGGCAGGGACATCCCCTCCCCCTCAGCATGTGTAAGCGTCTTGCCCCCAGATTCAGAGTGAGGGAGGGCATTTGGAATAGCCTTTTCTTTGATGATTGCTCAACCAGTAGCCTAGATACCACAGCCATGCCATTTACCTGCCATCTCCTGGGTAAGGCTTTTTAAAGATAATGAAGCAGGAGTATTTTTGAAAAGGTCTAAATACAGAATTTTCTATTTTATCCATTTTTTCCCCATTTTTAGTAGTTTCTCCCCTAGTTCTGTTGCAATGGGTGTGACTTTTTTGCCTATAACTGAGTCTTTTTAAAGCACTCAATTTTGTTGCCATGGAAACAAACCCTTTCTAGAGCACTTAGGCTTTCCCTTAAGCTTGTGTTCTTCCCAAGTGCTAGGTGGGATCAGTCGCTCCCCCACAGGAGCCCTCTACTCCATCACACCTGTTGTCTGGCCTCTCTTGTGATATTTCCTAATCTCAGTCCCATAGGGAGCTCTTCTTACACCTCAAAGCCCAGGCCCAACTTACTTTCCGTCTCACTTGCCCTCCCTAGCATTTGCCTCTCCGTGCCTCACTCTCCTGTGTGTCTGGAGGTTCCCCTCTTGTGTTTGAGGCCTTCTCCTGCTCATCTAACAGAACGCTATGGGTAGCTGAAGTGTTGGGCAGTGACAACTTCCTGAGGCCAGTCTGCATCTGCAGAGACCTCTTTGTGGCCCCTCTGTAGAGGTGAGAGAGGAAGTGGTGATAGTGGGATACACTATACCTTGGAGGTTCTCTCCAACTCACAGAATTGGAGTTTGGGTGGCCCCTTGTCTAAGTTCTTAGACCACTTTTTTCTGAGAAACATCACATCCCCTGGGATGCCTCTTTAGGTGCATGGAGCTGCCAGCCTGCCTCCTCCTGAGCTGGCCTCCCAGCTCTTGGCAAGAGTAGGTGTTTGCCTGGGTTTTCCCAAGTGTTGCCACTGAGTCAACCCCCATACACATGCATTCTGTTGGCTGATTGGCAGGCTCCATCCTACCTCAGGCTTCTGGGCTTCTTCAGGGTAAGTCAGCCTCAAACAGGGTCCCAATGAAGAGGCCATCTAAATGTCAGACTTTAGTCTGCCCAGTGCATGGTTTGGTGACGGTCCTGCTGGCCACTTGATTTCCAGAAGCCTCACGTAGCCTTCTTTTTCCTTTAGATGATGCAGAATTTGCTGTTAGAAGAAGGAGGCCTGGTTCAAGTGGAAAGCGTCAACCTTCAAGTGGCCACATACTCCAAATTTCAGCCTCAGAGCCCTGACTTCCTGGACATTACCAACCCCAAAGCAGTGTATCCTTTTGGAATAAGAAGGGTTCTTATGGACAGAAGAGAGGTATGCTGGCAGGCAGTAAACAGCGCTTTGTTGAACGTGTGCCTACTTTGGGGAGCACATATTTATTTATTGTGATTGGAGTTGTAATTTGAGAGTAATGACATTCAGCCTGCACATCTACCATGGTCCTGGACCTGGGTCTGACAAGTGCGCTCGACGCTCTGTGGGCCTCTTCTGTATACTCGCCATATACTTCATGGGCAAAGTTGAACCCTTCCTTCAGGTGGACTATGACACCTAGCCCAAAGCCCAGTATGTTGTGGTAGAAGGGGGCCAACTGGTCTGCCCGTCAGCCCCCAACCCCTGTGAGCCACTGGTGCCCACAAAGTTGCCACTCAACCTCCCCTTTTACCCAAGTTTAGGGCTTTTCACTCCAAAACAATGGAGAGCATTGATTTAGTAAGTTTTCTTTCTCTCAGCAAGAGGAAAGCAGAGGTTTTAGGTTCTAGTGGGTTTTGTTTTGATTTGGTTTTTTTGTATGTTCTTCTCTGAACATAAGCCAGATGCGTGTGTTTATAATTTAAGGAGTGACCAGTGTGGGTGAGGGACTTGCTGTGTGTGGATTGCAATAGCATGGAGGCCCCCGTTTGGCTTGTTGAGATCATGTTATAGAGTGGTCACTTTTACCTATTTTTTTTTAAAAATGCATGTTTGGAAAAAATACAGATAAGTAGACAGTAAAAGAAAAGCTTCCTGTACCTGTCCCCCTGCACACTCTTCCCAGGCTGGAACTCAGGAGCAAGCTGCTGCCAGCCATGTCCTAGATGTGGGTGTGCCATGTTGAGCCATCCACTGACTGTGTCTGTATACTGGGGTGTTGAGCCCCCTGCAGCCAGGTCCTGGACATGTGGGGGTGCTGGGCTCTGCTCATGGCAGTCAGTGGAGGCTTCCGGTCCTGGGACAAGGTCTGGTTACCTTGTCCTTCAGAGCTCTGCTTGAAGGTGCATAAGAGTTGGCCTGTCTCTGTCACTGTAGCCCCTCATGACTTTCTCTGGATTTCTACATGTATTGCAATGCATACTTAACTGGATTGCCTTCAGAGGCAGTTTCTCTCATCGTAGCTAACTTTGTATATGGAGAAAGGGCATTACTTTCATTAGCCAAGAGTCAACCCAATGCTCCCTGGTCTGGCTGACAGTCTGGATTAAGACAGCATAGAGCAGAGAATGTGGGGGATGCACAGAGCAACAATGCAGGAGCCATTTCCATCCTCAGAGGCCTCGTGGATTGGATCTGACAGCTCAGGGATCCTCGGGAAGAGTCAGGGACAGGGCACTCGTGCAGCATGGCATTTCACATGAGTAAAGACAGCATCCCACACAAGGCCCTTTTCACAAAGTTGCTGTCACCCTGGAAGGCTTTGTGACTAAAGGAAGTGAACCTAGACAGCCTGGCTCTTTCTCCCTCAGACTCTGAGATCCTCAGACTCTGAGATCCTCTCTGGGATGTGCCATGTCACGGTGGCAGATTCTAGAGCCACAGTTTATGTTTATGCCTTGACAATGTGTGTCTGCAGATTAGAAAATGCATTGAGGAACTTTGCCTGTCTGACCACTGGGGATGTGATTGCCATCAACTACAACGAGAAGGTGAGTGTATCAGCCATAGGGCCAGCAGGGCCTTTAGCCCAGCTCAGAGCAGGTCACACCTAAGGAGGACCTGCAGTGCCACTCTGATATTTCCATGGGGGTTCTTTTTAAGCATTGTATACCTGACTTTTGTCAACTAATTGCTGCCTACTATTTGCTTTTTAGAGGCCTAGACTAATAATTCGCCATGTTTTGATAATTGATTGATTATATTTATGAATGCGTGAGCTTAACATCGTTATCCTTATTAGTTACAAGTCTGTGTATCACAGTGGTGAGCCTGCCAATGTGCCGCAGTTAGAAAGGTCTGCATTGCACCTAAAATCTGAGCTAAGCCCTTTGCTAAGCTGTCAGGACACAGAAATGAGGCAGTCTGGGACCTTGTTTTTATGATTTCGTCCCCTGTTGCCGCAAGAGGTGTGGCTGAGGAGGGTGTCATGGAGGTGAATAATGGATCTGCAAGCTCAGTAGGAAGCCGCAGTAATGTGAATGGTGACAGCTCCCAGTGCTGCCATGAAACTGTCCAACTGATTTCTGTGTTCTTCCCACAGATCTATGAACTGCGGGTGATGGAGACTAAGCCTGACAAGGCTGTGTCGATCATCGAGTGTGACATGAATGTGAGTGACTTTGCTGCTTACAATGCATTTCAGCCTGGGGAAGACAGGCATTTGATAGCGCCTTTAGGCCAGTGCCCCAGGAGGATGTCACTGTCACAGAACTCCCAGGACTATTTGGGTGACAGAGGAGGAAAACGCTGCCAGAGCATCATGACGAGGCCACTGACCTTGTGATCCCTCTCATGGCCAGTGGAGGTGTCAGAGTGGCCTCCAGTTCTGAGATGGTTAAATCTACTTGGCATCTCAGACCTGCCAAGGAGTGAATCTTCTTAAGCATGAAGGAAGCTCAATTTTTTTAAAAAACAACAACAAGGAAAGCTACTTCGCTCCTGAGTAGGAAGGAACTATTGGGACACACAACAGTTTTGTGGCTTTCCAGAGAATGATGCTAAGCAAAAAAGGCCAATCCCAAATGGTTACACACTGATCCCATTTTTAAAACATTTTTGAAATGACAACACTTCAGAAGGGAAGACAAAACAGTGGTTGCAAGGTGCCCTGGGTGGTGGTGAAGGCAGCCAGCAGAGGTATGGGTATGGATACAGAAGGGATCCTGTGGTGCTGGAACTATTCTGCATCTCGACTGTAGGCATGGATGCACAGACCTACACTGGTGATTAAATTGTGAGAACTTACACACAAAGTGAACTCTTCTAAAATTGAGAAATTCTGAATGGTGTAGATGTCGACATTCTGGCGGTGATATTATGCTATAATTTTGTAAAATGTCACCATTGGAAAACTGGGCAAAGTGTACAGTGCATCTTTCTGTGTTATTTCTTAAAACTGCATGTAAATCTACGGTTGTCTCAGTTACAAACAGAAAAGCTAAGGAAACTTAAGTACCACCATATCTCATAATTTTCCTTTTCATCTTGGGAACACAGGTGGATTTTGATGCTCCACTGGGCTACAAAGAACCTGAAAGACAAGTCCAGCATGAAGAGTCAACTGTAAGTTTTCTCCCTCCCCAGCCTGGCAGGTTTGGCCTCTTTGGTAATGGTCTTTGGGAGTGTGTCCTGGTCTATCCTGATTACCAGCCTGTATTTGGCCTCTACTGGTGCCAGTGCAGCCACATTCCCTGCTTTTCTTCCAGCCCTGCTCCCAGGGGACGTCCCAGCTGTTCAGGTGCCGAGACAGTAGTAGAAATGAGGGGCCCAAGGGAAAAGTTGGGGTATCCCTGCTGAGACGCTTATCTCTCATTTTTCTGTCCTGTCAGGAAGGCGAAGCTGACCATAGCGGCTATGCTGGCGAGCTGGGCTTCCGTGTGAGTACCAGGTCGCGTGTTTTACCCCTGTGCTCCTGCTGTGCTATCTTCTCCTCCCAGCCACTCTCTGTAACTCTCCATGGACCTCAGCAGGGATTGGGCCTCAGGGTATCTGTAGACACATATATCTGCCACTTTGTCAGTTACACTGAACTTGACATCCACTTTCTCATGGAATCCTCCTAACATCTCTAAGGCAGCCACAACTTTTTTTTTTTTAATTCTAACCTACCAAAAAGTTAAAATAGTACAGTGGACACACATAAACCCTTCACTTAGATTCACCAAAGTGACCACTTTTGCTTTATCTCTAAGAACATGTCCTCTTTTTCTTTGCTTGCACTGTTTTAAAGTAAATTGCAACATGACCCTTCAGTACTTCCACCAACCAGGCTCCCTGGGAAAAAAGTGTAGATGGCTAGTGTGAGGGCACCAGGGCACTAGGAAGCAGTGAAAGAGGCAGGACTGAAAGCTGAGCTATGGGGCAGTTGCAGCAGATGTCTTAGTCCACCTACAGAGCCCCAAACTGGGTGATCCTACAGAGGCCAAGGCCAGACCTTTCAACCTGTCATTTGCTACTGCCTGCCCCTGGACAGTGGTTACTCTTGAGCCAGGAGGCTCCCTTCAGCTCACAGCAGTCCTGAGGGGCTAGGCAGAGAGTTCTCCACTGCCCACACTTCAGCAGCTGGGAAGTGAGAGCTTCATTTCTGAGGGGGACTGGGTGGCATCCCCTAGCACATATCCCTGCAGTAGTCTCAGCAAAGGGCACACGTGTGCTCACTCTCTCGGGGCTCACTACACACACTCTCCTGCTTGCCTGTATAGGCCTTCTCTGGCTCCGGGAATAGACTGGACGGGAAGAAGAAAGGTGTAGAACCCAGCCCCTCCCCAATCAAGCCTGGAGACATTAAAAGGTGGGTCTGCCCTGTCTGCTTCAGCCTGGTGCTTTACCACTGTCTAGGGAAGGTCTGTGCCAGACCTCTGGGATGGGCAGTCTCACTCCAGCTCTGGAGACAAATCCCAATTCAACGAGGCTAGCAGGGTGGATGAATCCCTACACCCCCTGCTCTCCTTGAGGGACTGGAATGTGACAGGGAGTTGGTGTTTCCCAGTGGAAGTGTATCAGTATCTTTCCCCCAAGTCCAGGACCACTGCATTCCAGCCTTCACTTGCCTCAAGTAGCTCCTCATCAGATCTCCTACTTAAAACCTTCCAGTTCCTATCTAGTAATTGATTTTTCTATTTTACGACTTCATCAAGTCACAGTATCTCAACTTCCCTCAAACAGGAGGGAAGAGCTACCTCACTGAGATGTGTTTCTGTTGTTTGGTCCAGGGACTCAAAGCAGATACCCTGCTTTGGTCCTGTCACAGTGGTGGCAGGGATGTGATACATCACCTGTCATATGTCACCTCTCTACTATGTGTTAGAGCAGAGGGAGAATGCTATAAATGGGTTTTTTACCTGCTCTCTGAAGGAAGGAAATTAGTCTGGTGCAAGTGTACCCCTTCCAGTTTAATCCGTGAGGCTGGAGGACAGGTTTGATGAGGGCCTCCAAGCCTCCAGATGACCCTGACTGCAGGCCAGGCAGTGATTCTGAAGGCCTCTACCCCAGTCGCCTTCTGATTCTCTCCTGGAGGGATGCTGGGGAGCACCAGAGGGCTGGCCCAAGGCCAGGGTGGGGTACTGCTACCTACCCCAGAGTGAGAGTCGCCAAGAGAACACTCATCATCCCTTTGGCTTGCCTTCCTCTTGCTTGTGAAAGTGAATTTGAGCCCTTTTCTCTTAGGACTAACATTTTCCCTCTTCCATCTTCTTTACAGAGGAATTCCCAATTATGAGTTTAAACTTGGTAAGATCACTTTCATCAGAAATTCACGTCCACTGATCAAAAAGGTTGAAGAGGTGGGTATATTTCATGGGTAAGAAGTTTTATTTTCTAATGATGAGTGGAGGTATTCTTTCCAATTTGAATCAGGGTATTTCTGTCATATTTTTCTTCATTCTTGGGGCCCTCCGATGGCCCAGTTGTCCTGTGGAGGCTGTGTGGAATGTGTGCAGGCTGCAGCTCTAGCATCACCTAATGTTGGTGATCAGCACAATACTGGCTCACAGAGTCTTTGCCAGGTGTCAGGCGCCATGCTGAGTGCTTTATACTTAATTATTTAATCCCTGGGGAGTCCCAGGAGGTGGCTGCTGTGAGCGTGAAGGTGCATGGCAGTCAGTGCCCAGGGGAAGAGCTCCTGACAGCTGCATGGCACCACACTCCATAAACAGCCTCCACTGAGACCAGATGAGAGTGGCCTCCTTCGGCCCTAGAGTTCCCATGTGACAAGAATGAAAGGGTGCAGATGAGGACAGGAGGTGTTGGTAAAAGAAGAGGTTCCGCCTATGGGCCCTTCTTCCAGGTGCTGGAAACTGACTCAGAAAATCCAGCACACCCTGCTACTGGTTACTCACCCAACCCAGCAGCTGTGGCTGTGTGCGCTGTGTATTTCTAGAACACCAGCACTCAGACCCACCACTTTCCTGGTTCCTTTTCTCATAGGCTCGGTCTCTTGGGTGCTAGGGGTAGCAGATGTGCTGTGAGCCTGTTCATGGTGGGCTGCCAGATGGGACCAGTCACTGGCCAATTTCCGAGTACAGGCCCCTCTGATCACTGAACTCCCCTGTAGCCTTTGGGTGGTTGGGGATAGAGACCACTATGCTGTCTGCACATCCCGGCTCCACTCACAGCCCCTCCTAGCCTTAATGTTCTCAACACACTGTTGGGAACACATTCTAAGACAAGCAAATGTGATCCCCATGATCATACCTCACCTTTTGAGTCCTCCTTGAGGCCCTTTCCAGGTCTTTGCCAGCTATAGGCCGGTCTTGCTAACTCAGGCATAGAGGCTTCAGCATGGGGAGTCTTTCAGACTGACTTGTGATGCCACTGTTGTAGATACACTAAAGCTGTGGTACAAGGAAATAAGGTAATAAAGACAGTGAAGAGGACAACTGCAGCACCACTTTGGAAGCCCCCAAGCAAAAAGATAAGTGGTAACTGACCTAATAGATTAAGCTGCATACTGAGCGGGCCATAGCTTGGTTTAGGTGGTAGAGCTGTCAAAGGGCACCTCTGAAAAAGAGGGGCTAAAGATGGAGAATATTTCACAAGGCAGTTAGAACTGCAGCACCCCTTCCTATTGCCAGGAAAAGGCACCATGGAAAGACCCTGGCTTGGGGTCATCAGCACAGTGGATAAAAGAGAGCATGAGTGGCAGTTTGCATCCTGAATATTGCCACCCTTGGTGTCCTTCCCCTGCTCGGCTCCCAGACGCAGCAGGTTTGTTGGAGGAGCTTTCTATGGATAGTCTGACAAGCCCCAGGGAAGGTCCCAGCCAGCTCACCCCGTAGTGAAGACCATAGTCAGAAAGTTTACAGTGCTGACATCCAAATCATTGGAGTTCTTGGAAGAGATTGGAGACACCAAAAAGGGAGAAACCATCAGGGAAATGATTGCTCCATATGGAAGGGCACAAATTTGCAGGTCAGAAGGCCCACTGCGAATCCAGCACGGTGAATGAAAATAACCCAACATTGAGGCAAAGAAACGATTCTAAAGCTTCCAGGAGGAAAGAGGTTCTACCATAGGTCAAGAATCGCATATCTCAGCCAGACATAGTAAGCTAGGAGATAATGGAGCCGAGTCTTCAAAGTTCTGAGAGGAAGCTTTTCAAAAATTCTGTACCCAAATCTTATGGGCTGCGTTATGCAACCACCCCACCCCCTTTCCTATGTTAAAGCCCTAACCCTTCCGTACCTCAGAATGTGACTGTATTTGGAGTTAAGGCCTTTACAGAGGTAACTAGGTGAATGTGAGGCCATTAGGATGGACCCCTGATCCAATCTGACTGGTGCCCTTATAAGAAGAGGAAATTTGGATGCTCATAGGGAAAACCAAGTGAGGACACGGCAAGAAGGCAAGGAGAGGGGCCTCAGGAGAAACCAAACCTATCAACACCTTGATCTAGGATGTCTGGCCTCCAGAACAATGAGAAAACACATTTTGTTTAAGTCCCCCAGTCTATGGTACCTTGTTATGGCAGCCAGAGCAACCCAACACCAACCAGCCTTATCACTGAAACATGAGAGAGCAAAAACAAGGTACTTTGGGATACTTGAGATATTACAAAATGCACCCTTTCTCAGGAAGCTGCTGGAAGATGTACCCCACTAAAATGAAAAAATAAGGTAGAAATAAGAAAGCCATGGGACAGGGGTCCCATGGCCAGGTATAGCACTGAGAGAATGGTCAGTCTAGGAAGGGCAGCTGGAAGACATCAGGAGACACCTTCCTCAAGCAGATGAAGTTGTTGGGATGCCTGCTGTGATTAAATTTATGCAGAAGAAAGAAGGCAGACCTGTTATGGACAGCGGGGCAAACAGAAGGTTCTGCAGAAAGGGAAGACTGGATGACTCACATTTACATGTGTGTTTGGGAGCTCAGAATCTTTATCTTCTATAGGCTGACTAGCAATACAAACACATGAAAGATACCTGTTTTTGAGGGTTTAGAAAAAACAAGCCGCCTTTCTGCTGCTGGGAGAATAGCTTACTGAGGAATTCAGCTTGTAGGAAATGTCAGAGCTGTGTGCAAACACTTTAGGCTGCCCACCACAGCAATTTAAAATACTGCAAACCTGGAAGTGATATCCAGTGGTAGAAGACTGCCTCTACTACATGATGGAATTTCCATAGATTTTAGAATGTATTAGATAAGAAATTCATTGACTTCAGACTTGGGAATTAAGTATGAAAAGTTTATATAAGCATATACCGAAAAGTAACTGGAAATGTTTTTTGGGGTAGTGGAGTTACATGTGACTTTTCATTTGGGGGTGTATTTTATAGTTTTTACATAAAAAATGTAATGCTTCCACAAAAGGATATACATTTCACCCTGAGAATAAAGGCTGTGGTAGACACATAGTTGTGATTGTGTGGTCATGTTTTCAATTCAGTTGATTATGATTTATATTTATATTTTAAAGACATTTCTGACTATGAATAATGAGGAAGTAAGGAAAATGGGTGGATGGTACATGAGTCAACAGAATAAAGCATTTTCTATAAACCTCCAAGAAGTTTCTGAAAATAGTATTTTTCTTCACACAGGATGAAGTTGGAGGCAGATTCGTTGCTTTCTCTGGAGAAGGACAGTCATTGCGTAAAAAGGGAAGAAAGCCTTAAGTTGGGACTGTTAGCTGATTGGAAAATAAAATAATCAATTGCAACATAATGGCTTTTAGTTACTGCCTCTGACAGGGATGAGATTGTCGCAGAGGATGCTCTGTCACTTTGGGTTCATTTAGAGTTAGCTGAGAATTGTCTAGTTTAACCTGGAATTGGGACAGCAGGACTTTGTGGTTATGTACTTGAATTGGGGAAAGAAAGCTGTCTCTGAGATCCCATAGGGGGCCTCCTCTCCACTTCTTGCTTTCAGCCCTTGGGAGCACTCCCACTGCTTCAGCAGGAGCAGAGTTCCCCAGTTCCTGATAAAAATCGATGGAGGGGATTGAATTGCTCTAACTTGTGGTGTTCTCTTTTTTTATTTATCTTTTCTTTTTGTGGGTCTGTGGCTTAGATGTTGCCTTTGACCTAGAGAAAAGTGGTCTAAATAGATTTGTGCTCTATAAATAGTGGTTATTCCATCACTCTGGCTACAATTTAAGTAGTTTGAGGATAGGTTTTTCTATTTTTATTTTATTTCCCCCCCCCC